TCTACGATCCCTCGCGTCTAGAAGCTGAGGGAAGGAAGAGATAGCGGCGTAGCCAGAAATTTTTTTCGGGGGGGGGGGGGGGGGGGGGGGGGGAAGAGGGAGAAGGGTTTGAGGGGAGGAGAGAGAGAGAGATGAGAGGAGGTGGGTGGCTGGGATGTTTATAACTTGGCGTGCGGACACCAAGTCATGGACATGGGTGACTTCTGGCTGAAATGGTTAAGGAGTAGACCTAAAGCTAGCTGCGTTTGTTTCCACTGTATTTGCCGAAGGCATTCGAATATGCGAGAGCCAAACGGCGTTTGGCTCTAGCATGTAACTAAACGCGAAAAAAAAAACATGAAAAACCTCCGACCAGTCGTGACGTCATGACGTGACGCCAAGCGGGTGTCGCTTGTGTGGGCAAGCGTGCATGCAATTGCAAGCTTGCAAGGTATATTTTTTCTCACTGACGACAGTAGTGATGTCTATTTCTGACATTTGTGAAAATAGCAAGACCGCGGGCGCATAACTTTGACAGGCACTGAAGATGCGCGAGAGCAGGGATTCTGAAAACTCTTAATATGCGTCACGCCCCGGGAAGAAGGGGCTTCGACGGTACTTTAAAAATTAACTTCTGCAGCCTCCGTGCACCAAGTTGAAAATAATTTCGATATTCCTAATCCTTGAGGTCAAATGAAGACGATTTAGACGTTTTTCTTAAAACACAGAACCGCTTCAGTCTCAATTTAAAGGGGCCCTGCAATCGTATTTAAGCCTGTACCTTTTTTTGTGGTTTCCACGTCTCTTGGGGTTCGGGCCAGCCTGCGGGCACGGAGAGAGTAACTAAATATGAGTGCGTCATATTTTAACTGGACGACGCGGAAACCTCCTGCACCTACGGGGGCGACCCGCGGTGCCGAAAGCGCGCGAAATGTGAAGTCTTTGGTCCTGGGCTTAGTACTGGTCAGAGTGGGATGAGGCACCGACGAGCGGCGAGCGTAGAAAGGTCCCGGACGTACGCGGCGGCCCTGCGTTCGTATACTGCCCGAGGATCCGACTGGTTCCGAGCGTTCCGAAGGCCTTCGGCGAGAAGGTTTGGCTGTTTGGCGGTATGGCAGCGCAAAGTGGCTCCCGTTTTGAACTGATATTTACCCCGTGTTTGCTGTCCTTTGCTGTCGTTTGTGGCCAATGAAGTGTCAAAAGACAATTTGCAGACGCAGTCTGAGGCACGTTTCTTTCTTGTAGGAGTGTCGTGTCACGTTGTTCGACAAACACTGGACATGCTCTAAGCGCATGAAACAGACATGCCTGGAGCATGATTGATGCCTGCCCGCCGATAATCCTGTCATCATGCCTGCAGCGAACACCGTGTCTTTTGTTTGAGCAGCGTGGCTGCGGCTTTAGAGAGCGCAGTCCATCTACGTGCAGCGAAGTCTGAACATTCAACAACAGACCTGACTTTTCTTGTTTGTTGTTTCCTCGCGCACTCACCGCGCGCGCACACGTGCACACCCCTCTAATGACCCGTATCGTCATTGCGGGGCTCTGGTAATCCGTGACGCGTCGTTCCTCCCTTCCCGTCCGCCTCCTTGCCCGTCCCCTCGGCAAATAAACACGACTCGAAGGAGCCCCTGCGGCGCCGCGGAGGAAGGGAAGAGACGAGCCGGTGCAGCGGAGTCGGCAGGTTACCGGTTGCGTGTTGTTGCAGCATTGCCCCCCTCTCGTTTTTTTGTGGACTGTTGCCGTCCGGCCGACTGTGGGCGGTGTCGGCGATGCTGTGCCCGCAGGTGCTGCCGCTCCCACGGTGCCTCTGCGTCGTCGCCGCTCCATGCGGCGAGGGCCCCGGGGTGCTTCTTCTTCCCTTCCGGCGTGCGCGCCGATGGGCCACCTTTCCGCTGGCCACCGCCTCGGAGAGTCTCGGGCCGTGGAAGCCGCCGCACTGCGCGGGCTCACGCGTGCGCGGGAGCGCTAGGCTGGTGTTTGCGCCCGCCGCCGTGTGCCGCAGCTGGGAAGATGACCCCGAGCAGGCTCACCTTCCCGCGGTGATTGTAGAGTCCCCGGATAATCGTTGTCCCTTGATACAGCCGGAGGATACAGTCTCCGACAATATAAAAGACCCATTAGACCGGGCAATTTCAGGCGACTGTGCGGGTCTCGCTTTGGCAAAATTGGTTGAAGCGGGGAAATAAATGAACCTTTGTTCGTTATTCTCTCTAAAAACGAAGTGCCTCCGGCCGACGTGTTCTTGTGGCTGATTATGACCGGCTACTTAGTGCTGCGCAGTCGCTGGTTGTAAGCAGTCACAAGCGGCTTAGAAACCCGATGTTGCGCCGTCAATAACAGTTACCCCCAAGTGTGTGAACTAGCCTGCAGAACGGCAAATGCCGCTTTAGAACGGTTACACATTTCGGTATAAAAGATGGCAGCTTGCAGAGAGCGATGATTATTGGAGTACACAAAGGGCGCCCACGTCCGAGGTCTGCTGCCACGATCCCTCACAGTCTGGAAGGTCGAGGGCGCGGACAAACGCGGCGCCTCAATGTGCATCGTCGAAGGAGAAGCTGACTTGCTCGTTTCGGAAGCGCGCACGGAGGTAGGCACCCCAGGAAGCGCCGCCGCGGACGGACGGACGAGCGAACGTACGTCGTCGGTACCGGTGTGGACACGCGACTGGCCGGCCGAGACCGGTTCCCTGGGCGAAAAAGGGGGACGCTTCTCGCTGCCTCCGGAGTCCGGCGGGCGAGTCCTTGAGGAGGGAGCGTCCGTCTCTTCTGCCGGGGAGAGATCCTGGATTTAAGAGAGGGAGCAACTGAAACCACGGAGAACGGTTGCAGTTTAATGGCGGACACCTCCGGCCCAGATCGGTCCCTTCTGCGCATGCGTGAGATGCCGCGTGGCGACGAGGATGGCGAAAATGTCCCAAAAGCGGGGTCTCATATTAATAATGTTTCAGGTGTAAAAAAAAAAAAAAAAAAAAAAAAAAAAGCAGCAAACAGCAACAATTAAACGTCTGATTATTATTTGGTTTTATGTAAAATCGGTGTGTAGCTTGTTGCATCACGAGGATGGCGTGCGGAAGGGCAGAGTGAAGGTTACAGACGACGCGGCCCATAAACCACGCGACGTGGATCGAGCAGTTGGGAACACTCTTAGATCTGGGCACGCTAGCTTCTGCCGGCGATTGTTGCGCGGCCCTCGGCGACCTGCTCGCCGGTGGCGAGATACCGGTGGCGTAACCGCCCTAAGCGGCGCTAATGTACTACGCGATTAAAACTTTAGAAAGAAATGGAGTTGTCCCGCTGGGCACCGCGACAGTAGTCGACTGGGGTTTGAGGACGTCCCGGGGTATGGTGGAAAGCCGAACCTTTCTTGGGCACTATGCCGTGGTGGTACGTACATGTGCAGCGACGAGGCTCGAGATGAAGCATGCTGCGGGCTGTGCTGCGGGGGCTTGGTTTAAATAAATAAATAAATATAGGGTGGAGTTTGCTTTAGCGCTGTGTCCTCCGCGTGCCTCGTCTTTACTAGACTCTGCGTCCTCGAACTTGGTTAATCCACAAAAAACCTGTTCCTCCTCTTTTACTTTTTGCAATAGTCTCTTTCCGCGCCGTGAAATCTCTCGCCAGGCGTTTTATTTTTCGAGCAGCCTGTTTTGTTTTCATCCGCGCGCCCCCCTTTCGTCACAGTTGGGTGCTTCGGTCACGGTATACCATTCAACCTCGATCCTGCCGATCCCATTCATGAGGTTGGCGTGTTACGCACACGGCACGTGACACAAATACTTTTCGCGCTTCGGCGCAGGACGATCGAAAAGCCCCTTATATACCTCGAGTGCCGTTATCGGCGCTATAGTTTTCGTTTTTCCCTTCAGGGACACAGTTGCGGTAGTTCTGACTATAAGCTGCGCTTGCATGCTCAAGGCTCACGACACCCCGAAACGTTAACAAGCTCGCGCTGGAGGCGGGAAGATCGACTCAAAGACCTCACCTGCCGTTCTCATTGTGCCGGCGACTATGCTTCCAGAAACTGAGGGAGAGGAGGAGACGAGAGCGCGCAGTGACGTCAGAACGCCGGGCTCTGATTGGAACGATTAGTGGGTAGACAACACAAAGATGGCTGCCTTTGTTTCACTGCACTCGCCGAACCGATTTGAAATTCGCCGGGACTTGCTAAACAACGCGCGGTCACGTGTGTGTTACGTTACATCGGAGCCTTTCTTTGTACTCGAAGAGTGTGGCGGTCTTTTTGAACGTGCCGACAGTCTGGCAACCATGTGTGCCACCGACGCCGAACAACGAAGTCTCCCGCTGAGGGTGACATGGCGGCGCCATTTTGTTTTGGATCAGAAAGCCGGTCATGCACCTGCAGATGCAGGAGCCGCGCTTCCACTGTCCGGAATCTCTCCGGTTCTTTAAATGCTTCTTCGCTGCGAGACTGTTCATCTTGAAACCGGTGAAAAAATGCATGTACACGTGTGTTAAGTGCGATCCAAACCAACGCTTCTTTTTGCGCCTGTAGGTCGTGTGGCTGCGGATGTGACGCATTTCGTGACGTTTTGGCTGTTTCCGAGCGCGCTTTCTGAGTCAGAACCGTGCGCTTTGGTTTGGACGGGCCAGCTTCGGGCGAGCGCGCACGCGCGCAACAGACTGGCCCGCCAGACGGCGAAGAAACGCGGAGCCGGAACTAGCTTGCCCTCCACCAATTGGCCGGGACACAGGAGCGCCCTACTACGTCACCGCGCGTTTTTGTGCGCGTTGAGAAAGAAGTTGAAATCATCTAACTTTTTTGTGCGTGCCCGGAAGGAGCGAAGAAGTGGCGCGACGTCACGAAAATACGTCACATCCGCAGCCGCACGACCTACAGGCGCAAAAAGAAGCGTTGGTTTGGATCGCGCTTTAGTGATTCCGTGCTTCCAATTGCGCATGAAAAAGATGAAATTGAAACAGGGTGTTGATTGTAGAGCTTCCTTCGATTGAAAAATTGTCTTGTTTCATTTCTTGACTGTTTTTTTCTTCTTGCAGCCACGGACGGCAGCAAAGTGCTCAAGAAGCGGAAAACGGGCTGCTACAAGGAGTGAGTCAGTTTGAATCATTGCTCGTTGCGTTCTTGATGAAGAGTTCGTATAATTCGGGTTAACGGCTGTGGCTGTCGAGGGAAAAAGAGTAGCCCTCTTTTGCAAAAAGCAAAAATGCGTACTCAAGCAGTTCGCACTTATACAAAATAATAATTTTATATCAACGCGAAAAAAAAAAAAAGTGGTTTTTGGAATGGAGGTTTACGTTGCACTACGATGTCAACCCTACGCTGAAACTGCAGTGGAAGCTACATCCTCGTTAGACGGCCAGGCGAGGGATAGTCTCTCCCACCTCGTTAGACGGCCAGGCGCTTGGGAGAAAAGCAAATCGTCTATTCAGGTTCCCCGTTAAATTAAGCTTAAAAACAATAAAGCGTCATTTTTCCTGACGTCACGGGACCACCAATGCACCAATTCAGTTTCCCGGGAAAACTGAATTGGGTGTATTGATGGTCCCATAATCGGTAGCAGGTTCAGGGGAAGCCCCTCCCACTTCTCTCCCCTTTAGCAGTGCAAACATTTTAAAGAGGAGGTCGCCCTCCCTCCGTCGTTCGCTCTACTAAAGAGGCAAGAGGTGGGAGGGGCTTCCCTTGAACTCTTCACCTGTCTTCGACATAAATGTGTAGCAGAAATCGATGTCACGTGACCTATGTACCGCCAGTTTGCCCGCTAAATTTAGTGGCACAATTGATAATAATATAGTTTGTCCTTCACTCCTTGAAAGGACTGTTTAATGTCTTCTCAACAAATGTAAACAATCGCTCCTTTGAATACTGCATTTCATGCATATGTTACGGGACTTTGAAGATAAAATTCGCTGCCCATATCTTTTTTTTTTATTATTATTTTGGTTAGTGGGAAATTGAGCCGTTACTTGGGTGACTCTATATCGGCTCTGTAATCGGCCGTTGCGGTCGTGGTGCTCAGACGGGCCGTTCTTGGAGCCGGCCGAGAGGCTCCCCGGGGGCATGGAACAGGCGGCGGTTGGGCGGGGGTCCGTCCTCCCGGAACCGTCGCTCACGACTGGGCGAGAGGGCCTCTGCTTGGCCGGGGGCTGCGGGGGGACGCCGACCCGCGCACCTGCGGGGTACGATCGCCACTTCCTAACAATCGAACTGCGGCGGGATGCTCTCCCGTCGCGCAATTATGCCGCAATACGTGCCTCTTGTTCCTCGGGTGGCGTGACGAATCTTGCGCGTAACTTGACTGGGGGAAGAAACACAGACCCGTGTACTCTGCGTTCCAAGTGTGGTGTTTGTTGGCCACTTCAGCGAAATGGACGTCTCCTACTCCTAGTGCCGAAAGCTCGGAACAGTGAGGGCAGTAATACGAAATGTGGCACGTTTCCGAGTGGACGGAAAGCGCCAGGAAGACAAAGACGAGTGTGTTTCCTTTTAGTGTCGTCTTGGAGCTTTCAGTTTTCTATGGAAGCAAGTTCGCTGTCGTAACGTGCCAGCGTCTCAGTTTCTTTCTTTTACCAGCGCTTGTTTGCTCAGATATGAAACTGGAGGAAGGTGTCAGGTTCTGTTGCAGGTTAAGAATAGCAGGACACCAGACCCTTTACTCTTTCCACTTTAACGTGGAGAATGCTGGACGGAAGGTGAGTGGAGACGAGAAGAGCACTAATCGTGTGCGAGCAGAGCTTTGTATATTCTTAACCTGCAACAGAATATGCTCTGTCCAGCGTACGACTCCCAGTGCACGATGAACCTGCGAAAAACACAGTGGTATCGTAGCATTCGTTATAGCGTCGGTTAACGGCAGTGCGCGTTTCTTTGGAATGCCTGGTGTGTTGCACGATCTCTCGCCTTCGGTCGTGCTGCTTCGGCTGCGCGTGCACGCCCGAAGATCACGAGATGCCAGATCGTTTCTGAAGGCACGAAACTCGCGCTTGATGCGGGGACACTTCAAAGACCTCCCCGCCGTTCTTGTACCGTCAGTGGCTATGACCGAACTCGTCGTTGATTATGACCATTCGCCTTTCGATCAACGACGAAAGGCTGACGTCCCGTTTTCTGCGGTGGCGTCATTGAGCCGAAACTTGAGATATCGATGACGAAAGAGAAGAGCTTGCCTGCAACGCCTTCGAGCAAAAGAAAGAAGGGCGCAGTCGGCAGATGGGCTGCTCCGGCTGAAAGGCGGACGGTGCTCTTCCCTTGTTCTCCGGGGCTTCCTTGTTGTCGAGGCGAGCTCCGACACCGGATCCGGCCTCTTACAGGCTCCCCAAGCATAGTATATTCCCTTACCAGCCGTCGATTCGTCGCGCGTAGCGGGGTTTCGTGCCTGTAGCCCTGTGGCCCCTTGGAGACGGGCGCGTCTGCACGCTGCCTGGTTTCTCTCCTGTCGGATCGGACTTCGAAATTCCGGCCGAAACAGAAGTTGAACGTGGTGTGAAGAGAACAAAAGGGCCCGGGGTCCGTTTCTCGCGTGCCGCACGAATAAGCAAACAAGAGCGCGCATTGAACTAAAACTCTTCTTGGAGATGTCGTCACTATTCTCCGGTTCAAGCGTATAAAAAGCTGCCGAACTTTTCGGTTCGAGCCCGTGTGTCATGGTTTAGCGTGTGATGTGCGCGCGCTCTAAGTACGAAATGCTTCAAGACAAGATGTGACCTCGGTAAAATCTTAAAAGCAATTCTTTTTTTTTTTTTTGGGGGGGGGGGGGGGGGGGGGGCGACATGTACTTGTCTGTGATGGCTCTTACTCCCCTTTTGCAATACCGAGTGTTTAAGATAACCACGATACTCACACCACAAAAAATAAACATCGCCAAACGCTCGGTACGCCAAATTTTCAGAACTTTCCGTTCTGTTATTCATTAGTTAAAAGCGATTTTCGGGAAGTGTCAGCGAGGAAGTCGGGCCAGTTCCCCGTAGCGAACGCCATTCATCTATCCATATACGTATATTTGGCCCCAATTGTGTTCAGTTCCCATAGCCGTGTGTGTGTCTCCCCGCAGCTCTGATGAGGACGACAGTAGCCAGGGCCCCAAGTACGCGAGGATGGACGAGGACGCGCTTCAGGACAAGGACCGCTTCGGGCGGCTCTCGCAGGGCGGGGCCCCCCTTTGGGGCTCGGGCCCCCTGGGCGAAGGACCCGGCGGCCCTGTGGCCGACGCGGGGTCCCTGGCGGGCCAGCACTGCTCCCGGGACAGCGGCGAGCTGCTCGAGACGCTGTCGGCCAAGAAGGAGAACCACAGCGAGATCGAGCGGCGCCGCCGCAACAAGATGACCGCCTACATCACCGAGCTCTCAGACATGGTGCCCACGTGCAGCGCCCTGGCGCGCAAGCCCGACAAGCTGACCATCCTCCGCATGGCGGTGGCTCACATGAAGTCTCTCCGAGGTGGGTGCACCCGTATATGCCTCCTAGACTCGATAAGAAAAGCGGGACAAGCTGCTCCTCAAATACTTCCCATTTTTTTTTTTTTTTTTTTTCCGGAGGGCGTGTCCCTCCCCGCCTCCTTTTGTCTTCTCTCCAGCGTTCACTCTGCTAAAGTGGAAAGAGTAGAGGAGAAGCTTGCCCTTCTTTTCCTAACCTGCAACGTCGGCTTTGACGTCACGCAGCTGCGGTGAGCGCTCCACTACGTCACAGAGCGTTTTCGTGCGCGTTCAGGAAAGGTTGAAATCATCCAACTCTTATGAGCGATCCGCAGGCGCAAGGACGTCTCGAAATGCGTAATTTCCGGGATGCACGCGGCCTGCGCGCGCACAGAAACGCGTTGGTTTGTTACATCAAAGGCGCCACCTTTTTTGTTTATGGTGTTGGTTCAGCGATGATAGCACACGTACAGAAATACGACGAACACCATGATGGTGCGCTTTTGACGCTGTCTGATTGGTTCCGTCTGTTCGTAGCTTTGAAAACGCATATTGCTTTTTCCCCCAAAAAAAAAAAAAAAAAAAAAAAAAAAAACTTGGCTTGCTTCGCTAATCTTCCGCTATGCTCGATCGGGCGTGAGCACGGCGCCCGAAGAGCTCGCTTCCTGCGCCCGTTCCCGCCCCGTCCTCTGCAGGCAAATTGGAGCGGGCCAGAACGCACTGCGCGGGGGATCCATTCGAGGTGCGCGATTCGATCTGCGGCGGCGCGGCGCGCGTGTCGGCGGGCGAGCCGAGGGCCGCGTCAATTATTCATCGCTTCCCGTTTGTTCCTCCCCGGGCGGACCTCCCTCCCCCGGGACCGCCGTTTTCGGCCAGGGTCCGACGACGTGACTCCCAGGTCCACCCCACCTCCCCTCGGGAACGCGGTGAAGCCGCGACTGTCGAGGCTACAACCGGGGTCGGGGCCATTTGGGGCTGGGAGGAGCCGGAGAGCGAGGGAAAGCATCGTTTTGCGGGCACTTTGTGGGGACTGCTCTGCTAGGACGATCGGATTTGAGCGTTTCCTTCCTTTTTTTTTTTTATTCGGTTTGTTAGCTTTTAGGCACAGAAGGATAGAAAGGGGTAGGAGGACGTGAGAACTTGCACGGATGCAAATGCTGGCTTGTTCGTGCCCTGCTCTCCCCACTGGCGATTTTTACTGTGACTGTTTTTCTCTTGTAGTTCTTTTTTTTCTTTGGTTGCATCGTTGCGTGGAATTGTTTCCGGAACTCCGTTCCTCGTGCGTATGTTTTGGCCGTTTGTGCATGTACAAAGTGCTGCAATTGAGTTCTGTACCATGTTTTGGTCTTTGTGGTTATTCTTTCGTGTGGTTGGTGAGCTGGAGGCATTTACCTAGTTAAGCCAAAAACAATCGTGGCATGGATCTAGGCGTCCATTAAGTGTTTGAGAGGAGCAAATATTTTGAAGTTCCTTGTTTCCAACTTTTTGTGACATTTTAAAGTTATATATTAGGCTTTGCAACCTTGTCATTGTCTTTGGAGAGCAGCTGGTAATATTAATTTTATGAACACTTGAGGACTGGAGGACACGAAAATGGGACAGATGCAAGTGCAGGAGTTCTTTCAGCCTGACGTTTGTTCAGATTAGGGCGGGGGGGGGGGGGGGAGAGATAATTGCTAACTAAAATGTTGTCTTGTTATTTATGTTTTAAATGAATGGCACTCATTAACTGTAACTAAGGTTTACACAACCAAAAGTAAATATAGTTTTTATATAGTTTTTTTTTTTTTTTCACAAACAAACTGCTCCTACGAACTCAAACCAAGTCAAGTGTATTTGGGGTGCATGTTTTAACATCTATAAAGCATTTAAACAATATGGCCTGCAGATCATTCTTTTCTTTTGGTTTTTGAATGTCATCAGGTCTGTGCCAGTTCTTAGAAATGTGCCTGGGGTAGAGATATTAGCCAGAAATGGACTTTTTCACAAAACGAAGAACCCTCAGTATGTACATAGATTGCAAAACACTCTCAAACCCTCCCAACATTTCTGACCAGTCGCTGGCCATAATTATGAGCAACAGGGCTTGCACTCTGCAATTTGCTGCTGCCTATTTGGTGGATTCATTCAGGCAAAAAGTAAGGGTGCAAACGAGCTGGTGTACATTGCACATGGTTGAAAAAAGGCATTCAGGCATTGGTTTTGCTTCTAATATATGCAAAAAGGACGCTTATTGGGCTCACATTACTTTTTCTCCTCGGCCGTTAATTTTTTCGCTTAGCTAGACAAACAAACACTGGAATATTTCTTGGCAACAGATATCACACTGAGATAAAAAATAAGAAAATTGGATGAGAAAGAAACTGCTACAGCTACACCTAGGTGAGTGATTAGTGAGCAACCAAACAAATCTGCCTGGTCCTGCTGCTACAGCTACACCTAGGTGAGTGATTAGTGAGCAACCAAACAAATCTGCCTGGTCCTGGCAAGGAAGTGACTACTGCCAAGCAGCCACTTAGGTCATTTGCACATCACTGGAGGTTCCCGGATAACTGCACGAGGAAGAGAAGGCTCATACAGCTTCTCACTGCCATTTAGGGCTCATTTAGAAGGTCACAGCATTCTCAAAAAGATATTATTTTTAAACAACAGTACATAGCCCAATACCAAAAAAAAAAGCACTTTCCTTAAAAAAAAAAAATAAAAAAAAGAGGACGACGCATAGTTTACAATATTTATGTTACGGGACACATTTTGAGATTTTGCTCGTGCAAGCTGGATCAAACGTGGCTCCCATATCGAGGTCGACGTCACACTGCTGTCAAAAAGGGGCCACTCTGTGACCTCCCGTTGGCTGGAAGGAGTGCAGAGGCAATTGGTTAAATGTGAAAGGAATATGGGAACAAAGGAAGCAAGCAAAAGGGAAAAACATTTAGTACTTGATTTTACCTCAGAGTCGTCCAGTGATGCATTACATGAGGGTAAAAGCAAGAAAGCAGAAGTTGTCATGCTATAAAACCCCTAATGTTTGCGAGCCCCTAGCTTTCGCGAATTTTGTGACTTGGAATATCTGCAAACTTTAGGGGCGTAAATATTTCTATTGTCTATTCCAGCCTTTAGAATTTGCAAGCCTTAATGGTCGTGAAAATGACCCTGATGCCCAATTCGCTAACAATTGGGGCCTGCAAAAATAGAGGGTTTTACAGTATATATACATATATACATACCAGGGTGTCGAACCGGAACCGAACCGAACCGAAAACCGGAACCGAGCCGGTATTTTTTCCGGAACTGAATCCGAACCCGAACCGTTATATTGTTATTGCGATGAACCCGAACCAGAACTGAACCGGAAAAAAAATAATGGTTACCGGCTCATGTCAAAACGGTTCGGCCACGCGCTGTTGACAATGAATGTGCTATCAATGCCAAAATGACGAAAATAATCCCTGGAGAAGGGGAACAAGGGGGACAAAGGACAAACATAAATCTCCAAACACAGCTAGGTGACTGGTGAGCGACCGAAAAAATCCGCCTGGTCCGGGTATCGAACCCGGGACCTCTCCATTACAAGTGGAGCGCTCTACCAACTGAGCTAACCAGGGGTTAGACGTCAGTAGAGCAAACGGGTTTTATCAGCTGCCACCAGTCTAACACCAACGAGGGTGAAGCTTGCGATTTAAGGTTGTAATTATAATGCAATTAAATGCAAAGGTGCAAGCGAGCTGGACAAGAATGACGAAAATAATCCCTGGAGAAGGGGAACAAGGGGGACAAAGGACAAACATAAATCTCCAAACACAGCTAGGTGATTGGTGAGCGACCGAAAAAATCCGCCTGGTCCGGGTATCGAACCCGGGACCTCTCCATTACAAGTGGAGCGCTCTACCAACTGAGCTAACCAGGGGTTAGACGTCAGTAGAGCAAACGGGTTTTATCAGCTGCCACCAGTCTAACACCAACGAGGGTGAAGCTTGTGATTTAAGGTTGTAATTATAATGCAATTAAATGCAAAGGTGCAAGCGAGCTGGACAAGAATGACGAAAATAATCCCTGGAGAAGGGGAACAAGGGGGACAAAGGACAAACATAAATCTCCAAACACAGCTAGGTGACTGGTGAGCGACCGAAAAAATCCGCCTGGTCCGGGTATCGAACCCGGGACCTCTCCATTACAAGTGGAGCGCTCTACCAACTGAGCTAACCAGGGGTTAGACATCAGTAGAGCAAACGGGTTTTATCAGCTGCCACCAGTCTAACACCAACGAGGGTGAAGCTTGCGATTTAAGGTTGTAATTATAATGCAATTAAATGCAAAGGTGCAAGCGAGCTGGACAAGAATGACGAAAATAATCCCTGGAGAAGGGGAACAAGGGGGACAAAGGACAAACATAAATCTCCAAACACAGCTAGGTGACTGGTGAGCGATCGAAAAAATCCGCCTGGTCCGGGTATCGAACCCGGGACCTCTCCATTAGAAGTGGAGCGCTCTACCAACTGAGCTAACCAGGGGTTAGACGTCAGTAGAGCAAACGGGTTTTATCAGCTGCCACCAGTCTAACACCAACGAGGGTGAAGCTTGCGATTTAAGGTTGTAATTATAATGCAATTAAATGCAAAGGTGCAAGCGAGCTGGACAACAATGACGAAAATAATCCCTGGAGAAGGGGAACAAGGGGGACAAAGGACAAACATAAATCTCCAAACACAGCTAGGTGACTGGTGAGCGACCGAAAAAATCCGCCTGGTCCGGGTATCGAACCCGGGACCTCTCCATTACAAGTGGAGCGCTCTACCAACTGAGCTAACCAGGGGTTAGACGTCAGTAGAGCAAACGGGTTTTATCAGCTGCCACCAGTCTAACACCAACGAGGGTGAAGCTTGCGATTTAAGGTTGTAATTATAATGCAATTAAATGCAAAGGTGCAAGCGAGCTGGACAAGAATGACGAAAATAATCCCTGGAGAAGGGGAACAAGGGGGACAAAGGACAAACATAAATCTCCAAACACAGCTAGGTGACTGGT